CTCGGGAGGCAGAGGCAGGTGGATCTCTGTGAGTTCGAGGTTAGCCTGGTCTACAGAGTGAGTTCCAGGACAGGCTCCAAAGCTACACAGAGAAACTCTGTCTCAGGGGGAAAAAAAAGCTTTGGGTCTTTCCTTATTCTGTGACCACGCTGTTCCTGCAGATATTTTATCATGGCACCTGGGTTAGTGTGACACTTACTATTTATGTGTTCTTTCTTTTCTAGCATCCAGCATGAACTTGGTGTGGATTAGATATTCAGTAATTATTTGTGGCATAGAACAAAGGATGGACAGATAGATGGGCCAACATGGCTTATAGCTGTTTGCCTGGCTATAAAGCAAGCGGAGCCAGATGACTCCAGAGGTCTGACATCTTGCACCAATACCAACACACTAGGGCATTTTCACTCTAGCAGGAAGCTGAGACCCACCCCCAAACTCTTCCTTTTCCCTGGGCAAATATCCATGATCACTTTTTTTTTGCTATATCACATTGACAGATCACCCTGTAACAATCCTGTTCTCCAGGAAAGCCACACAGCAAGTCAAGAGGATATCAGAAGCCAGAGCATGCATGAGTTTGTTACTGAAAAAGGTGAGCATAATATTGGAAATTTAAGAACTATTTCATTGTTTTTAATTTGTGTGAGTGCGTACGTGCGTGTGTGTGTGTGTGTGTGTGTGTGTGTGTGTGTGTGTGTGCGCGTGCGCGCGCGCGCTTGTGAGTGCAGGTGTCCTCAGAGGCCAGAAGAGGGTGTCCGAACCCCTGGAGCTGGACTTATAGGCTGTTGAGTCGCCTGACATGGTCACTGGGAGCCAGATTTGTGTCCTCTGGAAGAGTAGCAAACATTTTTAACTGATCAGTGTCTCTGACTTCAGAGCGGAAGTGATTTAAAGGAGATGTGGCCAGAGCATCTTCATCTGATTACAGCCCAGATGATGCCAGCAGGTCTCCTAAGGATGACTCCTGGGTTAAGAAGACACCCACTGTCAGAGTGTTTTGTCTGTATTTGAATTCCCTGCTGCAGCCAGGTGTGGTAGCTCACACCTGTAACATCAGCACTTAGGAGGCTGACGTGGGAGGATTGCTAAGCATTCTAGCCAGCCTGAGCTACATAGCAAGTTCTAGGCTATTCTGGGCTACAGAGTCAGACCTTGTTCTCTGAAGGCATAAATAATATTTCTTCTACTTAAAACTCAGACCCCCATGTGTAACAGGAAGAGAGCTGTGTGAGCCTGCTTCCTTTTCTGCTGTAGAAATAAATACACCTTCTCAGTGGTTCAGATCCCTGTGCTGCCCCTCACCATCTGTGCAAGCCTAAAGCCTTTGTCTGGAAAACAGAAAACCAGCTCCGGCCATCTTTGGTGCTTAGAGCTGCTGGATCTGCTCTGCAGACGGAAGGAAGGAGCGGAGCAATTGTGACCTAATCTGTAGATTGTCTGGGTAGGAGGAGGAGTTAGACTGGATAGTGACAGATTTTAACAGTGATGGCAAACGGGACATCTGAGAACCTGCAGGAGTGATGGGAAGAAGTGCAGAGACCAGCCGGCTCAGCTGAAAGGTCTTGATGGGTAGCTGTGGCCAAAGAGACAAGTGATCTCATCACTTTAAGAAATACAGCGGCTGGTCGTGGTGATGCACACCTTTGATCCCAGCATTCGGGAGGCAGAGGTTGGTGGATCTCTGTGAGTTCGAGGCCAGTATGGTCTACAGAGCAAGTTCCAGGACAGCCGTGGCTACACAGAGAAACCCTGTTTCAAAAAACAAACAAAAAAAAAAAAAAAAAAAAAGAAAGAAAGAAAGAAAGAAAGAAAAATGAAATACAGCATTTCCAGACCAGGATGTGACATGACATGGTGGAACACTTGCCTACTGTGAAGAGAGCTGGGTTGTCAAAAGAAGGCAAAAATTGGTAGAATCTGCTGCCATCCAATACCACTACCACTTGCCTTTTGTTTGTTTGTTTTGGTTTTGGTTTTGGTTTTGGTTTTGGTTTTTCCAGACAGGGTTTCTATGTGTATTCCTGGTTGTCCTGAAACTTGCTTTGTAGACCAGACTGGCCTCGAACTCAGAGATCTGCCTGCCTCTGCCTCCCAAGTACTGGGATTAAAGGTGTGCACCACCACCGCCCGGCCTCTTTTTTTTTTTTTTTTTTTTTTTCAATTAATACAAGGTCTCACTGTTTTCCAGCCTGACCTTGAACTGCAGATCCCCCTGCCTTAGCCTCCCAACTGCTGACCGTGCACCACTGTAACAAGAATCTTAAAAGGTCTTATTAATAAAAACAAACCCAGAGCCAGGTATTAGGGTGAACACTGAAAGATCAGAGAAACAGAACAAGCCACATCCAACCTCACCTCACCAATTCCTCAGCTGATCTTGTTTCCTCAGACTGGAAGCCTCTGAGTCCTCATCCAAATGGATCTCAGCTGAACTGCTGCTAAAAGCCTAAAAGCTTAAAAGCCTCTAGTTTCTGGTCCTCATGCCTTATATACCTTTCTGCTTCCTGCCATCACTTCCTGAGATTAAAGGTGTGTGTCTTTCCCAAGCAAGACATGAGATCTCAAGTGCTGGGATTAAAGGCATGAGTCACTATGCCTGGCTGTTTCCAGTGTGGCTTTGAACTCACAGAGATCCGGATGGATCTCTGCCTCCCAAATGATAGGATTACAGGCATGTGTGCCACCATTTTCTGACCTCTATGTCTATCTAGTGACTGTTCTGTCCTCTGACCCCAGATAAGTTTATTAGGATGCACAATATATTGGGGGACACAAAATATCACCACACACCACACTCAGCTCCTTTTTCTAACAGCCTGCTTACTAATTAGAATGATAATCTTTGCCCTTGGTGAAAAATTCAAACAGTCTTTAAAGTTTTTGCTAAATTGTGTGTGTGTGTGTGTGTGTGTGTGTGTGTGTGTGTGTGTGTGTGTGTGTGTGTGTATTGGTTTACACATGTACAAGTGTACATGGAGAAAAAACTTACTAAAATGGAATTACTAGAGCAGAATACATTTTAGATTGTTCCACAAGAAAATAGTACAAATTGGAATTCACTTTGCCCCTAGGCCTGTGTTGTGCATTGTCCAATTATTTCTTGCCATTTCGATGAGGGGAAGCAGCTATTTGTTATTGCAGTAGCCCACATGTAGAACTTTTCTTTGTTTTGGCCATTCCCTGAGGAAGCATCGTAGAGCTGGAGTTACTGGGTCAGAGGCATGGGTGCTGGAAACATGGAGTGTCGCTTACCTTTCCTACTGCTATGATAAGATGACCTGAGAAGAAAAACCTAAGGGAGAGAGACTTTGTTTGGGTTCATGGTAACAGACCATCAAGGTGGGGACATGCCAGCAGCAGGAGCTTGAGGCACGCGGTCACGTTGTGTCCGCACTCAGGAAGCAGAGAGCCGTAAATGCTGGTTCTGAGCTCGCTCGTGGTCTCCAAGCCAGACAGTCTAGGATCCCTACACCAGAATGGCCCCACCCACAGTGAAGATAGATCTTTAATCAATCAAGGTTAAAGATATATGTATATAACCTCATAGATATGCCCAGAAGCTAAATAATCCCTCACGTGTGTTTGGAGACTTCTTCCTCGAGTGGGTCTAATTCCGGTCCAGTTGACAACATTCATCATCTCACCTGACAACATCTCTTCTTTTTCTTTCTCTCCCCACTTAGTCCCACCCTGCCTGCAGTAGCCCCAAGCTGACTGTAAACCAATTCAACCTCTATGGGAAGAGCCCGCTAATCATGTACTACTTCCTCAACTACTCTAAGCTGCCGCTTAAAGGCCAGGATTTGCTGATCAGCCGGAGAGAAAAGACCAAAATCGTCCCATATCCTTGTCACCAGGCTCCTGCCACCTCTTTGCAGAAGCGGGGCTGGAGGGGAATCATCCAGGCTTTAGTGCATAGCCTGACACACAGTGGGTACTTGGTAGGAGCAGCCGTGGTATGCACCTCAGGGGTACAGTCTTGCTCGTGTGCTAAGGTGAGCCTCAAGTCTAGGCCTTGGGGACTGGCCAGTAGACCCTGAGCATGTGGAAATTGTCCACGTACAGAACCACCTTTTCTCATCTTTCAGCGTGAACGTAGGTACCATAGCCTCCCTGATGCTCACTGGCCCCAGAGTGTATGGACCATCAGTTTTGGTGTCCATGTGAGAATTTCATCTAACCTCCTCTGCCCCAGCTCCATTTGGAGTTGGTAAAAAGCTCAGCTCTTAGGAAACAGGTGCAGCACGTGTTGGTTTCCCGAGCCTTAGCAACGTGCCTTGGGGCTAGAACAGGGGTTCTGCTGGGGGTCAGTTTGCCCTGTTTGTCCAGATAGCTCCAGACTCTGGAACTAATGGCACACTAGCCAGCCAAGTGACTTCGGAAACGTTCCAGTTTCTCTGTAGGCATCACTTCTTTCATCTGTAAAATCAAAATGAGGGTTTCTGCCTCAGGAGTGCTGTTTGCTTGTTTTCTGAGACAAAGTCTGTCTGTGTAGTCCTGGCTGGCCTGTATCTCACTCTGTAGCCCAGGCTGGCCTCGAACTCACAGAGATCTGCCTGCCTCTGCCTCCCGAGTGCTGGGATTTAAGGCATGTGCCACCACTGCCCAGCTTCAGGAGCGCTTTTGCAGACTGATTCCCAGAGCAGTGGAGGGTGCCCAGCACATGCGTGGTACTCCACTGCCTTTGCTGGCTCCTGGGCAGGAGGGCACCAGGAGCCTCCTTTTCTTCTCCTGTCCTTAGAGCCTCATGTCACACATTTCTGAAGGATAATGACAACTGCCACGAGGCAGCGTGGTCCACATTGTCCCGGCATCACCGCATTCTTTACGTCCCCGTGGCTCAGAGGCGGCACCTGGCTGGGATGTACCAACCTTAGCATCCTTACCCTCCGAGCTCCCAAAGTGAAGCTGTCCTGCCCAGCTATGGTGTTGTGACTGGGCGGTGTATGATTGCCACTGTAGGGAGAACCACATTGCTGTGTCACTGTCCCCTAAAGGACGAGCATCTCTTCTTTTCAGGGCAATCCTCCTGCCTCAGCCTCATGAGTGCTGAGATTACAGGTGTAAATCACCAGGCCTAGCTTTTACCCCCTTTCGTAAATAGATAAATGGAGATGCAGAAGGTGACAGAGGAGGTCCCTGACAAGCTGATATTCTTTTTTTTTTTTTTTTTTTTTTAAAGATTTATTTATTTATTATGTATACAGCATATGTGACTGCAGGCCAGAAGAGGGCGCCAGATCTCATTACAGATGGTTGTGAGCCACCATGTGGGTGCTGGGAATTGAACTCAGGACCTCTGGAAGAG